CAATAAATATTTGCTAAATGAAGACAATTTTGTTTCCTCTACATTAATAGGCTTAGCTATGCAATATACAGTCTGTGTGGAGGCAGTTTGTGTGCATGTATTTCTTAATCGTAAACTATTTCTAAGTCCTTCCTTACTGAAAACAGATGGGGGCATAAATATAAAAATGAAAAAAATGAAAAAAACATAAAAATGAATAATAAATAATTTTCAAACAGCCAAAACATATTCATGTCCGTAATCCCAAAACCACTCTCCCCCAAACTCCTGAGCTCATCTGTGGCGAGCATGCTTTGAAAACAAAGACTTTCAGGGAATTTACTCCCCCAAACTGCCTGACCAGTAATCTTGTATGGTCCCCCAATATATCCTCTTAGCAGGCCTCAGTTTTCATTTCAGCGCACACTGTCACTTGGCTAGTGAGCCTACCAAAGCACACCTGTAGGTTTACTAGAATCTTCTCCCTCGAATGCAGCTACTTCTGCAGGGCTTAAGGAACCATCACCCATTCATAGCTCAGTGGCAAGAGCACAAACACTCCTGAAACGCAGGGGAGTTAGGAGGGAGGAAAGGTATCATTTTCAAGCCCAAAGTTATTAGCTGTGGAGAGTGGGAGCTAAAACATGGCTTTGAAAATGGAGCTCAGAAAATGTTTATCTCAAAAATTTTGGGGAAACCTGGCCCTTATCCAGAAAGAAAGAGGAAATTCTTGCATTAGCCCTTTCTTGTTCTAGGACTCAGAACTCTGGCTGAGTTCTCTGGCTGATTATGAGACAGTTAGGTATAGTAACATTATTTCTACAAGGAAACAAAATTCCACTCAATTAAATACTTTTTTGAACACTGGCCACGCTAGACTGGAGGAACTAATTAGTTTTAGACTTGTTCACCTAGAGTTGTTCTAGGAATCTGGGCAGCAATCAGTAATGACAATGTGTTATGGGTAGGGTTCCCCACCACTAACCTCAGCCCCACCCCAAATTCCAGGTGGATTCAGGGTTTCCTAACTTAGCACGAAGCACTCTGCCTCATATCATGTGCCCCACCCGCAGGGTGACTTGCCACCTCCGACCACTGTTTGTGTTATTAAATCTGGTTGAGCTTTTTGGCATCAACCAGAGGTGCCCAGGTCCTTTGATAAACAGCTCACAGAGCTGAGGATTGAGGGGCACTGCCCTCAGGGCTTCCTGGAGTCCCCTGCAGCTGGTGAGAATGTGAAGACCCAGGATCAAGTCTCACTTCTGCTGGAGAAGAGGTCTGGGCTCTGTGCCAGGGGTTCTCTCTAATAAGAATGCTCAGGTGACCTCTAGAGTCCCTCCCAGCTCTAAACTGTAGAAAGGCTCCAATTCTATAAGCATTTCTGAGGATTACAAGTTTGGCTAAGAACTCCTGTAGTATATTCTTCCCAAACTTAAAACAAAAAAATGCAATCAAAGTGATTTTTTAAAATGGGGTGAAAATATGGCCAGTAGATTATTCTGGGACTTCAGGGTATTTTAATATAAAATAATTTAGCTTTTTCCTTAGCAAATAAAGGTATTGTCAATTCTTGTTTCAAAAATATGAAAACATGGTCTTTGAAATTTCCACGTTTCTAACAAAGCACAGAAATCTTCTCATGGTTTTCTAAATCATGAGATGATGCCTTTATATTCCCAAATCACAAAACCATGAGGAAAGACTCTTTCAAAACTTAAACTGTCACCTTACAAGAGGGGTGCTCAGAAAGGATGTGACTTGTAAGGAGTGTTCAGGTCACAGAAGCCCTGGACCCTGAAAAACAGGGTTCTCCCTCTCACCACACACACCCAGGTTCTAAAGTCAAACTCCTATGTAATCATTACAGGCTACTAAGCAGATATCAGATCCTTATCCCAAACGTCAGCATTAAGAAAACTCATGTTTCTCATGGGACAGGGAGGTGACTCACTAGACTTCAATGTTCTAATGGCAACATAAAACCGAACCGTTAATAGAATGCAGCCTAAGCAAACACCCCTTGACCTCTTTCTGGAAAACACCAGCAGACACAAGTTCCTGTGACGGACAGTTTATGTGTGTTAGTGCTACTTAATAAATGAATAATTTTTAAAGTATTTCGTAAAAAGTCAGCAAGGTTCTCTATTCTCCCTTCTGACCTTAACAAATGTGAGTCAGCCTGTGTGTGTATACACTCTATAATATTAAAATGTTGATTTCAAAAGCAAACTGCCTCCTTTGGTAGCACCTGACTCTTCCATTCATATTCAAACCACATCTTCCCATTAGTCCCTGAGAACTCTGAACAAGCACACTTTTACTAACAGATCCAAAAGCAAAAAGCAGAGTGTGATAACATTTTTAAAGATAATAAACATTTGTATAACCCTAAAACTAAAATCAGATTATGAGCCACAGATTTTAGAAACTAATTTTTGTCTCACTGATTTTACGCTTGTTTTCATAAAAATATCCATCCTTAATTTTAAAAAAATAATCTTGAAAATACGTGTTTACTTCTTACTATTTTTAAAGGAAAGCTTCCACAGGTAGAGTTACACTGTTCTCAAGTCAATTGATTTTGTTTCCTTAATGCAGATTTCTGGGACTTACATTAAGCTTATACAACTTGTTCTAAGTTATATCTTGTAACAAGAGAGAAAACTCTGGATTTAAAAAGTTCAGACAATTTATATTTTCCCCATGTATTTCAAGCTTACAAAAATTTCTTGTTTATGATCACAGAAGAAAGCACCTGCAGCCACCCTCTATAATATATCCAAATACAACGTCAGCTTCCAGATATTAGTTTACCATTCCAATAATTATGGCTAGGCCAACAAAAACTGTAACACTTTTATACGATTTTTACTACTACACTTAAATGCAAAGAGCATGTGAAACCAAATATACTATTTTTGAAACGTAATTTTTAAAAATTCTCAGTTTAAAACAGCAACTTCATTCCCTAGGAAAAAAAGTCTTTTGTTAAATAACAACAAATAGAGACAGTAGAAAGACGGTACAGTGAATGAAGCAGGGTAGGTAGGCAAAGACTTCTGTTCAACATAGCACTTAGAAGTTAATAAAATTCACCACAACATTTTCCTAAGAAAGGACACTAATTAGCCTTTTTGTTTTGTGGGTGCTGTCCCCTCTTCTCTCAGTAGTGTCCAGATTGAGCAAGCAGGGAAGGGAAGAGGCACATTGGGAAATGTAACTCACCAGGATACCAGGAGGGGACTTGTCATGGTAAACATCTTGAGTTTTACTTAATGATCCTTCACAAACCTCCTCATCTTCCTTATCATCTTCTAAGTAAAACATCTTGAAAATCAACTAGCATGTCTTTTTTCAGAGATGAAGGTGTATAATCAAAACAGAAAGCTGCTCTCTTGATAAACTGAGTACAAACCACTTGCAGACACAGTTATATGGCTAAAACAGAAAGGAAATGGTTCTAACAAAAAAAAAAAAAGCAATGCATACACAAGTTTACCAATGAGATTTGCTCAAAATGCCTCAACCCCTTCTCCCCGAAGGAGATAAGCAGGGGCATGGGACAGGTTGTGCCATGTGTTTACACTGATAGGCACCAAGACCTGCCCAATCACATGATGGCCACTGCAGCTTCCATCACACAGGACAGGGATTGAGTTAATGATTCTCTAAACCAATCACATCCTCATTTTTTAGAAATTAAAACAGCTACTATACATATGGAGACTGATCTTATGTAAGCGAATCATGTAAGGGAAGTCATTTACATACATTTTCCCAGCAGCAGGGAGCTTCCCAAAGTCAGCCAGATGACATGCTTCAAAGAGCCCAACTACTGAACACTTTGTGTCAGACTGGCATGACCCAAGACATTCTCACAATTCTGGGAGGCATCCTGCTCAGCACTGGATATAACAAGCAGAATTTACTTCATTTCAAGAATATGATAATGCAACATTGTAAAATTCAAACATTCCCGGTATTTCTTTGGCAGCTCTCAATAAGTCAACACATAGTAATTTCAACTGAATTTTTCTAAAAACCGAAAGCACACTTAACTCACAAGGACAAACATACTAGATTTCTGAATTAAGATATACTATTTTTTTCATACCATTGTCTAGGATTGTGCTGTTCATCGCAAACAGCCGTTAGCCACATGTGGCTACTGAGCACTGGCAATCAGGCCAGCACCAACTGCAGTGTGCTCCAAGTGTAATGTACACACTGGATTTCCAAGACTAAGAATGAAAAGAGAATAAAATAATCTCATAATTTCTAATATATACTACATATTTAAAGGATATTTTGGATATATTGAGTTAAATAAGGTATTACATTTACTTTTACCTAGTTTTTTCTTTTTCCACTTTTTAAAATGTGATTACTAGAAAATTTGAAATTACACATGTGGCTCACATTATATTTCTATTGGACAATGCTGCTCTAAAACCCTGAGAAAATCTTGAGAACAAGGTGGGGAAAAGGACATTCAGGCAAGTTACAGGTAAGGAAGAACTGAGGACAACTGGACTGTTCATCATTCCTTTAAAGTATTTAATTCATCAACAATACACTAGCTGATTCACATCCATTTAATGATCTTCACATTAAACCTTTTTCTCTGCATCTCAACTTCACAAAAGACAAAATTTTCAAATATCTGACCAAGCAATAGGTGTTTGGTGATGTTTAATACAGTAACACACCACAAAGGTTCATATAATAAAAATGTTAAGTGGCCGAATTAAAAACCTATTTCATCAAAATTAGAAATGGCAAAACTTATCTTGCACGCAGCATGTTTTCCTGCTTGCCTTCTAGCCCAGCAGATAGTAACGTGGCCTGCAGTACACCAAAGTGCCCAGTCACTTGCAATCTAATTCAATACACATCAGGTACACAAACTCCTACTTTTAGAAAAGAATGGTTTCGGTTTTTATGGTCTAAATTTTACGCAATGAATAAAATTTAAATCTCTTCATCCATAAACTACTGCAGCTCAGGATCCTTGGCATCAGATGGTAGTGATAAAAACCGGGTATTGGGGTGCTGCCAGTGGAGAAAAGTGGAAAAAGTCAGAGGTCAGCAAGAAGGGGAGGCTAGCAGGAGAAAGAGAGATTAAAGAGAAACCTAAGAAGGTGAAAAAAAGAAAAGTTAGAGGGACAGAGGAAATAAAATGTAGAAGAGATGAGAAAACATTCAACTGGATAGCAGAAGGGGAAAGCCGTGAGGAGGGTGGAAAGAAGAAAGACAAAAGCCATATCCATTTTAAATGTGAATAAACTAAGGTCCACAAAGAGGTCAGGAAATTAGCCCAATGTCACCCAATTGGTCAACAAAGGTGCCAGGACAAGAAGCCTCCCAGTTTCTGAGTCAGTGCCTTTTTGTGTTATGCCAAGCAGAGACCAAGAGAGAACATGCTGGGGATCAGCAGGAGGAGGCTGACAAAAGGCAGGAGCAAAGGCTTAGCAAGCGAGGCGTGGTGGAGATCCAGCAGGAGAGGTCAGTGGGTAGAATTCTGTTCAGCAACTCTTGCCTACAACGCAACTTATACAACCAGTGGGGTGCCGAGGCCAGTCATTTGGGGTTTCCTGCTAGTGTTTGTATTGTTTCCTTGTTTTAGCTGATGACTCCCAGAATGTCCTGACTGCAAGGAACATGTACTATGGACCCATCAGAAGTGAGCTCATTTTCTAAACATCTGTGTTGCCAACAGGCACACACCTACAGTTTCCTCCTATGGCCACCTGTGGATCACCCTGACCTTAAAGGCTGGTAGCCAAAGTTCTGCTTCCAGCCCCCCATCTGTAAGGTGACATTTTTCAGTCTTGATGGATAAATGTTAAAATCACAACCAACAATTCTTAATCATCCCTATGATTTTCAAAGGAAACTGTTACTGTATTGTCAAACTTTTTCTCTACAGGCTAAAATAAGAATAAATGAATACTGAGAAAAGCTACTTTTTACTTTTGCATAATATCTTCAATGATCTTTTTTTAAAAGTGTATAGAATTTGGAAGTCTTTTTCCCAAGATTTAACTCTTTAAAAAAA